CTTCCCCATGGTAACTACAGCCCTGGTCTATATATAAACAGCAACAGCACTAAAAAGCACCTTGAGCGTACATGTCCCGTACAATGTCCTTAGACAGAGCCTATGCTATGTCTGCTGCTGAAAGAGTCTACGTGGGAGGGCTGGCCATGCAAATTTACCTTCATGTTTGCTTTCTTGGGCGACAAGTGGGATCACCTACAGGAATATTGTGCTGTGATAACTGGGCTGAACTTTCAATTCTTAGAACCGAAAGAGTCAGGAACAAAGACTTGACAGAGGTTTTAATTTTTACCCAGACTATTCAAACTTAAGAAAAAAGGAAAACTTTGGCTGAAGTTATCCTGTTCAGGGAATGGGTGACAATTCGGACCCTAGGCAAGCAAAGTACTAGGTTCTCTGATGTCTGTGAACGCAGTTGTTCTGTAATGCACACAGCTTACCTGAAAATCCAGGTGCTGCATTATGGAAAAAGTTACCAAGTCTCTTCCTTGTCACTGTAAAGTCTCCCATTCCTGCTCCCCTAACTTCTCTATTGCATCCACCACACTCTAGCCAAGACCATTTATATTCTGTTGGACCAACTGGTTTTTCAGGAAAACTGGGCTCTTAAACTATGTGTGTATATATTGGGATGTGCCTGCTATGCCATGAACCCAGGGCTTGCCTTAACTCCTTAGTGACCAGTGATGTCCATAGTACGTCACTGGCAATGGGCAGGTTTAAACAGACTCCCATTGGCTTTAGCTGACTGTCGGCTTTACAATAGAAGTGATTCTGGCGACTCAGCTGTCGCCAGATTGCTTCTCTAGGCCGGTAAACGGGCCAAGATCCCCGCCCGACACCCCCGCCATGTTTCCCAGGCTCTGCTGCCCTTCCTACGGGCACGGGACCGGCTTCTTGGGTGTCCGTGGGAAGCTAAGGAGGAGAGCGGCACACGTCCTTTCACCGATCTCCTCCCCGTACTATGGGACCGGGAGTGACGCGTATTGCATCACCTCCGTTCCCATAGCTGTCATTGCTGGGATCCTGAAGCCCAGCAATAAGCTATTGAAGTGCAATCTGCACTTCAATAGCTAATTAAGGCCCTGTTCACATTGAGCGGTTCGCAAATCGCGCGATTGTCGCGCAATTTGCATTTTGCGCGATTTGTCACGCGATATCGCGCAAATGCTTGCATTGAGCAAGCTTCAATCGCGGCTAAATCCGCTCCAAAAAGGGTCCTGCTGTAGCGACACACGACCCGCGACAGCAGGACCCTTTGCCCCATTGAGAAGCATTGGAGAGCGATATTGCGCGGTAAATTGCCGCGATATCGCGGGAATTACCGCACGATAAATCGCTCAATGTGAGCGGGGTCTTAGAGTGTAAAGGTGACACTAGGGGTCTTTTGGACCCCCAGTGTGACCTTAAAGAGTACCTGTCACCACCAATATGCTATCACATGGGGGGCTTGTAAGCCCCCCTATGTGATACAATTCTTTAAAATTATTTTTACTTTAATTGCTATCAAATAAAAAAAAAGTTAAAATAATAAATGTCATAATGTAAACGTGCGCCTATGTATGAAAATGACGATCGTGATACACATGTTGGGCATTGCCGCGCACGCCACAGTGAGAGCAATATTTCTAGGGTCAATACTTACATGTATCTCTAAACCGATGACCTGTAGGGACTTTTAAAGCGTCATCTACTGACTTTTTGGGGTACTGAATTTTGTCGCCGTTTCACAGATGCAATTTTTTACCAAGGCATGTTGGGTATCTATTTACTCATTGTAACCTCATCTTTTATATTTTATTTAAAAAAATTGGTATTTTATTGTGTTGTGGGGCACTAAATTTAACTTAAGTGCATTTTTCACTAAGTTTTTAGATTTGATAATACGTTGCGCTAATAAGGTGCAACATAAAAATTGGCAATTGCCGTCATTTTATTCTATACGGTCTTGGCTTTCAGAAAATATATAATGTTTGCGGGGTTTAAAGTATTTTCAGACCTAAATGTAGATTGTAACATGGGTGCAAAAAAAAAAAGGCCTCAGTCATGAAGGGGTTAAAGTTTAGGTATCACTTACTCATGAGCTGAGGATGTACCAACATTGTGTGCTTTGGAGTCTATATTGTTCTCCAATATCAACGAAATAGTACAGACAGGTACTCACAATAGAGATGTGAAAACGAGCAACAGGACAATGTAAACCGGAGCAGAGCAATTGTCCATATAGAACGTCCTGTGTGAGGCTCACTGTGGTGTCAACGCATTTCCGGGGCACGCCCCCCTTCGTCAGGACGTAATGACAGTCAACTCCCTGCTGAGGCTAAAGAAGGACAAGCTGGGACGTGATTGGACGAGCTGGGACGTTGGCCAATCACGTCCCAGCTCGTCCTTCTTTAGCCTCAGCAGGGAGGTGACTGTCATTATGTCCTGATGAAGGGGGCGTCCCCCGGAAACGCGTTGACACCACAGTGAGCCTCACACAGGACGTTCTATATGGACACTTGCTCTGCTCCGGTTTACATTGTCCTGTTGCTCGTTTTCACATCTCTATTGTGAGTACCTGTCTGTACTATTTCGTTGATATTGGATTAAAACATTCTGCACTAGGAAAGGCGCCCCTCTCTCTGTTTCTTTCTAGATGTTCCAGTTCCCCTGACTGCCGTGGGGCTGCATCTTGCATTTATGCTCAGCACTCCTTCTTGTGTGAGGGACACGGATTGCCTTTGGCGCTTCTCTATACAAAAACGTTCTATATTGTTCTCCGTCTTGAGGCATAAAGGAGTTATCCCCAAACCTCAGTTCTTCTCTTTTGCCTTGGCTAACTGGAATCCTTTAGAAATCTTATTTGGTGAATTCCTATAGACATTCTTTATAGAAAAGCAAAATATAAAACAAAGTGTGGTATCAGAAGTGACAGCCTGTAGTGAGGTGTTATAAATAGCTTTGATAGAACAGAACATGGTCTCCCACCTAAACTACAATCAAGGCATGGTAACAGAAAAGGGTAGGTGCTGGATGCACATCTACATGCAGTGTCTGTGTGTAAAGAGCTGCTTGAAGTGTTGCTCATTATTAAAATTATTACAAAAGTATGTTAGAGGCAGATTGTGGTGAGATCTAGGGGCGCAATGGCATACTGGGCTTTGTGTATAACATCTGACTGGTTGAGCATTGCTACCAGGCAATCAATTCCTTATATACTCCAGAATGCGCTTGGAATCTGACTGCCTGCTGTATGCAAAGCAGACACTTGTATTTGTTACATAGGAGGCTCATTAGGAAGTTCACTTCGGAAGGATGACAAATATTTTCTGTGAAGAACAGAATGTTATTATTTACAGAACCTAATGCAGAAATGTGTTATTACTTAGGCTTCGTATCAGAAGAAAAAGCCAGAGCGGGTCTTTGGGATACTCAATCCTTACTCTGCTGATGCACATAAGACCTTGAGTCCATTTAATTCTGCCACTAACAGCTTCATAAAGGTCCAACCACTGGACCATGACCTAACATGTGACCAAGAGCATCCAATTGAGATTGACTACCTCATGAGGAGCAGCGAGATGATAACCCAAGAGGATACTTTGGATCTCCATTATCTGGTATAAACCATGTTTTTAGCTTTCTGTTTCAATGTTTTTATTAACGTTTTGTAGATGGATAATAAAAAAAATTAATATAACAATCATCAAGTATGATTGTAACATAAAAAGCACATAAAGGTAGCAATTAAACACCATAACAATGTGTCATAGTAAAAGGTTACTGCAAAACAAGGCTGTTGAGGAACATCCTCTAACAGGGATTTCAGCTGCCTATTTTACCATGTTTTTAGCTTTCATACAGTAATATTGACATACAAATACTGTAATATTAGGGGGCCAGTCCACCTAAAATTAATATTGTATAGATGTAATAGATCTAGATATAGTATAGATGTAGATGTAACCTGCTGGATTGAGGTTCAGGTGTTGCCGAGCACATTTTCCAGAACCTTAAAATGATATTCATTTGCAGGCAATAAACAGAAACTTGCAGGCAGTAAACCTCTTTGTACAGGAGGCTTAGCTAGACCCTTGTGATTACATTTCAGGAGCAGAAAGGACATACCAGACAGTCCTAGGTCCCAGGTTAGCAGCACACAGTCCACTATTATAGTTAACCAGTGGTCACATTTAACATTTAATGCATATTCTCATTTCTTGCCGAGTGTTTACAGAGCCCCAAAACTTTATCCAGCTCTACTATGTAGATCTCAACCAGCCCCTGAGGTCCAGGGCTTGGGTGTAACGCCTTCCACCCCTTACTGTTGGCTCATACCTATGACAGATGGCCTCAGTGGGCAACCGTAGAATGTATAAAGGAAAGCCAAGCCCACAGCCTTACCTCTTGTCTGTTTAGCGATTTTGTTTTATAGACCACAAGTTCTCTATAACCCTTAGACATAGTGCTATTGTTACCTAATTTGGGCAATAACTATCATGGTTAAGTACAACACACTACAGCAGACACACTTGCCCAGCTCTTCTCATAGGACCATGTGCTATTCCATAATATTATCAGCAGATCATCAGATGGTATTTACCCCCCTAATATTAGACTGCTATAGGTGCTCTCTCACCATGCTCAAAAGGCACTGGTATGTGCATTAGGGCATTCTCTGTGTGCGTGCTTATGATGTTGGATCATGGCAATGATCGTCTGCCATAGGTGTGTTTGGCCTGCTCTACAAAGCAGATAAATTCCAAATAGTCTGCAGGCATGCGTGGTAGGAGCATGTCCTTCACCCAGTTGAAAGGTACTGTATGTGTCTGACAACTCTAGCTACTGAAATTTCCTCTTGCTGTGTAAAACATTACCCATACCTGAAACAGGACGGTAACTGGGTAACATATACTGAGAATATCTGGAAAAGTTACTAACAATATTGTAAATAGGTTCTACTGGCCTTTTATCCATTCCCCTTTTTTTCATTTTAAAATAATTTTCTCTTAAAGGTTGTGGCACTGGGAAACCTTGTGCTATATGGAGTGAAGAAGATCAGCACTAACAGAAACTCTGGTAACCTTTCCTTTTATCAATCTTTAAAGAAAGTTGTCTTTTTATGTGCATAAAAAATAGAAAAGGATTTTACGGTGAGTACAAAATCCTATTTTTTCCATGGGATATTCAATGGGCAATTTAAATACAATCACATTTGCCAGCCTAGATGCACTTGGCATGGGCTAGGCCAGCTTACAAAGTTTACAGTGGTATTACAGGCTCTGTTTTTTCACATAGTTTTACTGCTAGCAAGCAGTAGAGCATGCCCCCACAAAATGTTCAAAGTGGCCAAATATTTTGTAATTTACCTGTGTTTGTGCCTCTCGCACCCGACTGCAGAACACAGCTTCCCAAACGGCCATGCAGGAGATGATGTGCGCGGGTGCATGCACAGTTGATATCACCAGGCTGGAGAGGAAGATTGAGAGAATGTCAGTTCATGTATGTATGCGGGAGCATGCACGCAGGGCAGACCCCGTGGGACACAGGAAGAAATAAGAGTTGGCACTGGATCAGAGAGCAACACCAGCGCTGAGGGGACTTTTGGAAACGAGTGAAAGGAAGAAGATGTTCACATCAAGAGGCATCACATAAGGTAAGTCCTTAACCGCCTCCCGTCTGCCGAACGTTGGGAAACGGCCGGACGGGAGCCTTCTGGCAGTGGGTGGGCGGGAAACTGCCAAAATTTGAAACAGCCAGCGATGGCTGTTTACATACAAGTGGTCCGGCATCTGTAAGGACGCCCGATCTCTCTGGCTTCAGAAGCTGATGAAGCAGATCTCTGCTTCATCAGCTTCTTTGGGGGTCCCTAGGTGACATTAGGGGTCTTAGAGACCCATGATGTCTCCATAAAGAGGACCTGTCACTGCAATAAAGTTGTAAAAAAAAAAAAATTGTCACAAAAAAACAATTGACATACACACACAATTTTTTTTTTTTTAAAGTCCCCCACATAGACGCACAAAAATGCAACTAATGCGCATAGGCACAAATACGAGGATTGCGCTGATTACGCCGCATATCATCGCGAACGTCGGAGTGCAAGCAATAATTTTAGGGCCATCAATCACTGATAAGACTAAATTGATGAGCGGTAAAATCTTTTAAAGCGTCGCCTATGGCCAATTTTGGGTATAGTAGTTTTTTGTGATTTCAAGGGCGTGTGCAATTTTAAGGCTTGACATGTTTGTTGTCTATTTACCCGACGTGACCCCGCCTTTTATATTTTACCAAAAAATGGGTAATACTAAATGTTTCCTAACATAATACAGGGAAAACAGATTTTTTTTTTTTTGGTACTTTTTTCGTTGTATAGTAAAAAATAAGCCCAGTGGTGAATAAATACTTCCAAACGAAAGCTCTATGTGTCCATAAAAAATGGTATAAAATGTATTTCAGTACAGCGTTGCATGACGGAATAAACGCAGCTCTGAATACTGAAAAATGTAAACACCCCGGTCAGCAAGTGGTTAAAGTAGTATGGGGGGGACGGGACAGAGCCTTTAATATCGCTTTATCAGTTCATAAGCAGTGTAGGTCTCCATATCGGAACATTGGAAAATATTTTGCTGAATGTTAGCAGAGCAATTTTATAACATACTGTTTGTAAATACAGCAGTTCCCTTTACAGAATTTAAAACCCCATTCTTTGCAAATTTTCTTGGAACAATTAATATTTTGCTGGTTAATGACGGGGAAAAATGGTTTTGATGGATGTGTGGGTTAGTCTGGGATTCTTCCGTTTATACATATACCACTAAGTATGTGTGGAAATCATTTAATAATTTGGTAACAATAACATCCATGTATCCACTACACTACACTTACACATATGCCAACAATACGAATCTGGGGAGGATATAATAAGGGAAGCCTCTCCGTTTGCCACCTGACATGATTTTTTTGCACTGCTGTTTTAATAAAATGTTCTCTTTCTATTTTTAGTAATGATGGGCACCATCGAGGTCCTTTTTCCAGTCACTGTTAATCTTGCTCCCCGGGCACACATCCTTGCATATGTATTACTTGGCAATGGACAAATAGTAGCTGACACTGAAATGTTCGGAGTCTCCAAATGCTTTAATAATAAGGTAAACCAATGTCTCACTGAGGCAGTTACAAAATATGCATTGAGTGACAATATGGAGAAAACACAATGTGCACATTATCATCTTACAACTTTCCTTTGCTAGTGCTCCCCTCTAGTGGTAAAAAAGAATCCCTGAAAAAGAAAAGAGAATACACAGACAGATGTTATGTGGGCTTTCTGTGTGTGTATGTATGTGTAAATACTGTGTGTGTGTGTGTGTGTGTGCGTGTGTACTCTGTGTGTATATATATATATATATAATATCTGTACTTGTTTTATTCTGTACTTGGTACATCAGAAATAAAAAATAATGTAGACTTAATTCTAATAAAAAGGTATATATGTAAATTTGTGATTGATCAGTTTGCTGGTCTTTTTTCCGTTATTTGCTGTTGCATGTGTTGTTCCTGATCATATGATCACCATGACAGCCAAACAGAGTGGTTACATTAGGTTTCTTTAAATACAAACCAGCCACCAGCCTCTGTTCATTGTTTGCATTCCAGTGTGTAAAAAAAATGAATCAAGTAAAAAATGTTTTTAAAGGTGATTAAAAAGTATAAAATGTATATATTATATGTAAACATTTTTATCTATTTGTCAGCTTATAATAAAAACAAAAGCTGGGAATATCTTAAATCAGCGTATCAAATAAATGTCTTGCATGCCTTATATATTAAACAAAACAAATGTAAAACTTTAGGAAGGCAAATGAATTAAGCAGTTATTGCTGAGTTAACTGATGCATACTGATGTTGCTTAATTTGATCCGGGCAATTAGGCCTAATTACATCGAGTCATGAAGGGGTAAAAATTATTTGCTTATTCTGCTGCATTTTTATAAATATTACAAATCTCTCACAAAGTCACAGCAGTATTTTTTGTGTGTGGTCAGCTACTGCATTTCACACTATCTACCTGCACAAGAACCTTATGGCAGCTTGTCAGCCACACTACAGTTTACTGTTGATTCATCTGCAGCCCACTATCCCCTGCCATTGGATTTTGTTGTATTTATCTATAAATGTTTGGAGGTGAGAATAAAGTAAACAGAGGATCTGAAATTGGGAATAATGGTCACTAGTCCGTCATCTGCTAGCTGGCCATCAGCTTTTTCCCATCTGTTTGCTCATTCATCTGCTGTCAGTTTGCTGCTGGATGGTTGTCTTTATAGCCATGGATTGTTGATTGTTTTTAAGACCTTTCGGTGTTTCCTTCATAGCTATCCCCAACTACTAGGCCTGAACACGCACACTATTTATTCTCTTAGGCACTTTTGTTCACGTGCATTTGCATCCAACACTTTTACTGATTGGGTTGGGTTGATCTCCTTTGACGCTGCACTAGATTTCTGTGCACAGAATCTGGGTGTGCTGGAGTCTGCACTTTCTTCTGGGATTCTACATGGCCAACTTGTTAACAGAGTCCCCACCTTTAGTTTTGGACTAAGCTTCCTTCATTTTGCTGTCCTGCTGATACAACTTTCTAACTGCTGATGTCCCCTAGCACTTTCCTGGTTGCACTCTGCAGAACCTTGGATATCGTTTGGATTCTCCTAGCCTTGCCCCAGTTTGGAAATGACCACATTGTTCAGACTTGTTTATCAGACCCATAAAAAACAAGAAGTCCCTGAGTGCAGAGTAGGTACTTAAAGCATCCCTGAGAATGGCTGCCAAAGATGAAGAGTCCCTCAGCAGCAGTCATTGATTCTGAGCATTGGCCCACCCTTCTACTTTGACCCTGCTTTCGTTTACCTTGCTACCTTAGCTTCTGCCCTATGCATATAGTAAATACAGAACTCTGATTCTGATTTGCACAAAAGCTTACCAATCCCCCATAGAGCACCCACATGTGTGTAAATCCATTTCCATTTGCAGAGCTCATTAATGCTCAAAAAAGGCATCTTCCCCCTTAGCTGATCTTTTCAGATATTATAGCAGGTTTTGCAAGCAGCTCTGTTATGCTTCCAGAACTTTATCATCTCATGTTTTTTATTTACAGGTGACTTTGGAATTTGCAGACAAACAGATTTCCCCAGGCTCACAAAGTACACTACATATAAATGCACAGCCTGGGTCTTTGTGTTCAGTCAGGTCAGTGGATGAAGGTGTCCTGCTTCTAAGACCTGAATCTGATATCTCCAGTGATGTGGTAAGCTTGACACATTCTATCGTACCGCTTGTTAGAATTTAGTAACTGTAAACCTATCTTCTATAGCACCAGCAGCTAAAATGGACATAAAGACATAGACCTAGCAGTAGGCCCAGTAGAGTCTGATTATAAAAAGCATCCACGCAACACTAATTTGTGTATTGTAAAATTGGGAAGATTTTATCTCCCTTCCTGTATATTTGGTGGGTGTCCCCAGTGGGTGTAGCATGTCATCAGCACACTTAGTTGCTTGTCCAAAGCTGTTAAATATTAAACGTTGCTTACATGTGTATATTGAATAGCTTTGGGCAACCAACTAAGTGTGCTGATGGCACAAATTCCTCCCTATGGATTGCACCATCCTTCTTGGTCATTCTGGCACCTTTACTTAACAATATGGCTATAAGGAAGTGCATCTGGGAACATTACAATTGATGTCTCCCCAGTGGGGCCCCAGCCCTTTTTTAAGAAGAGTGGCAAATGCATAATGTTAATTTTTTAGCACAGCATGGGTGTTAGAACAGGAACTGAAGGGAACTATCTGCAATGGGGGCACAGACAGAGGTTTAATTCCTCCCAATTGTATACCACACTTGAAAAAATATTTTGGTTGGAGTTAGTGTCCTAAAGAACCACGGGATCCAACAACAGGGTCCATTTTTGATTGGGATGTCCCTTGATCTTTTCTCATTCACAATATTCATTATCACCAACCTTACAAATAAGAATGAGGACTATGAAGTAAGGTATATAGTTCCCACATATAATACTAGTTGCACTTGTTATTTGTGTAAATAGTGTTCCTAACTCTGTGACATACGACTTACAAAGCTTCTCTATTTATATTCCCGCTAGGTGTACAGTCTCCTGGCACAGAAAAGGCGGTACGGCTACCCTTATCGTGTACGGGAGGATAATCCTATATGCATGCACCAACATGTTGTTTATTCACATATAGCTATTCAACGCAAAAAAAGATCCTTTAACTGGCCATATTCAGCACATTCCTGGGCTCCTGATGTGTTCACACTCATCCAGGTAAACACCAAAGCCGTATGGGAGAGTTACGGAACTATTTAACTAAACCAAAACAGGAAATTTACTGTGTCAAATGCAAATATGGCTAAAACCTATTCTGTTTCTCTATATACATCCCTTTGTTGTTAATTGTCCTTTTTTAGTGCATAGTTACTTTCCAATTTTTTTTTTCCATTTTCAGTCTATGGGAGTAAAGTTTCTTACAAACACCCAGGTGAGGAAACCTGTTGTATGTCCCCATTATCCACAAGTCGCAGCCTTGTCACAAAATGGAGCTCCTCAAATTGGTGAGATGTCCTTTCTTAGCGGTCCAGTTATTGTAATTTGTGTTACATCCAATTCCTGAGTAAATTCTTTAGCAAACTAACTGAAAATTATTCTTGCTTTTATTAAGTCTGTCTCTTGAAACAGGTATAGGCCCTACTCTGTATAATACAGTTGCCAAAATGGTCCACTCCTCCTCTTACTATTCTAAGCAGGGAACTTTCTACCAATGCCACATCCCTCTAAAATATGCACAGCTGGCAAAAGCTTGCTCAATGCTTGCTCACCATGCAGTTACTTGTGTCATCTAAATGTATCCTGTACAGGAGTTTGCAACAAGGAAAAGAATATGAATCTCAAGCTGGCCATGCAATGCTGTCGAGATCCGCCCAGCTGCGTGAGTGACAGCCGGCTCTGCCTATCTAGATGCAGAGCCAGCTGTGCCCGCCCCCTCCCCTGTCCATTCTTCCAGTCAGCACTGGAGGATCAGAGAGGGGAGGGGGGAATCCCTGTGGGGAGACATGACTGACAGTCACTGCTCTCTGCAGGGGGATGATCGAGAAGTGAGCGAGAGACGGTATGTGTTCGCTCACTTCCCGATGTATTGAGCCAAGGTGTGACAGTTTAATTATCACACGTTGGCTCGAACTATGAGGATGAGTGATTTTCACTCACCTCATAGTTCTCCTTTAAGGGTGCGTGCAGACTTCAATCAAATTTTGCATTTACATACAAGTCTAAAAAACCTTGAAGCAAGTCAACTGCAAGTCATAAGGAGGTCAACTGCAAGTCATAAGGAGGTCAACTGCAAGTCAAATGTACCAGTCAGTAAATATTATGAATGATCTCAGAAGCATCTCAACCTGATGCCATTGGCAAAAGCTCAAAACCGTTGACACAGGCCTTTAAAAAGTATGTCAAACCAAAAATGTTTTTCCTCATTTTGGATAGAGCAGGTATGGATTAGAACTCCTGTGGGGTTTTTGCTGTCCCCTGTGGCTCTGTTAGGGAAGGGAGATTTATGCTCACTTCCTTCAATTTTGATTTCAGTCTGTGTTGCTGTTGAGGAGTTTCCAATAATGGGTGCTGTCATCACTGCTCTCTCAAGGAGCAGTTGAAAACGACATTTGCTTCCATTATCTGTTAGATGTCCCTATGGCTTTGTTCACACAGGCAATAAATGTGGGAGCATTCAGTGCAGCCCAGGCCGGGTGCTGAAGGCACAGTTCTTGGTTGAACTCTGCCTAACAACCCCTACCCAGGCGCTAAATGTACTTCAACACATGTGTAAAGGAGACCTAAGGAATAGCATTGGTAAACATGGGTACAAATGATCTGATCAATCCTTGTGAAAAAAAATGTTCCACTCTTTCAGAACCTCACAATTCAAACATTCCTGGTTTTATTTCTGTGGAAGATACTGATTCACCGCTGATTCATCCCTCCATCAGTGCTTCTGAGATGGAGAAGAGGATTCGGAAGACGTTTCCCGAAACAATGGTTTGGAAATTAGTCACAGTTGGGTAAGTCATTTTTCCTGAACCTGGTATGAGCTGCCTTCATACCCCTTGCTGTTACTTCCTGGCTGCCATTTAACCCTTCTGCTGCCATTCTTCTTTTTTATTTTTGCACACATGTTAAAATGCACAAGCCTGATCTTAGGCCTGAAGATCACTTACACCCTGAAAACATGATACATTTTCTGAGAGCAGAGACCCTGGAGAATAGAATTGTGGCAGCTGCAGTTTGTTTTGTCATGCGATATTAGCACAACTGTTTATCTAACCCATATTTTTACTAAATAATACACTCAAATTCATTTTAGCGCACACTTATACGATTTACAACTAATTTTTGGTAGAATATTAAATATGAGGTTTTATCAAGTAAATAGATACCAGAAATGTCAAGCCTTAAAACTGCATGTGCCACAGAAACGGTGAAAAACCACAGTACCTAAAATTGGGTAGGCCATGGAATTACAGCGCTGAACCATGAAATGATCAGAACTGAGTGCTTCCAGTGTCATTCTTAACAGGAGATCAGCAAATAAATGTTTGCTTGTCTCCCACCACTCACCACCCTAGCACTGGCCAATGAGGTCTTGGGAACGCAGGATGTATAGCTAAGTCTGGCACACATGGTTGGGGGAGGGAGGTGGCGCATGTTACAGTACATGTGAAAGTGATTGGGTGGATTTGCAGCCACATAAGTATTTTATTGAAAAATATGGTAATTGTTTGATACACAGGGCTTTTGCAAATACAATGTCATTCCATTAGGGTTTTATATCTACTTTAATGGAATCTCCACGCAGAATTTGGCTCCTTACTGTCAGTAGGCCCTAATGAAGATCTTCTTGACCAGTGACCAGTGGGGGGGGGATTACTAATGTAAACTAAAATCTAGTTGGTTGCTTTTGGTTATCGTAATATGCACTTCAGCTTTGCCATTTGCCTTCTTGAATAAGACATTAAATATTAAAGGGAAACTATAATGGTTTTAAGTCAATGGTATTATGTTTATAAATGTTTTACTGTATATTTAAATATGGTCA